CTTTAATTACACATTGTGTTGCCTTAAATTCTTCTGGGCTCCAAGTTGGAGCAATGAAGTGTGCTGGAAGCTCATCAGCTGCTCATCCAGCAAACATAAAATGTCCATTTCAATCAAAACCAGCAATTTTACTGCCCACAGTAACAGGAAACGTATTGTTCAGCTGAATAAAAGTCATTATTTTGCACTTTGTTAGCTTATTTTGTGGCATTCAAACTCCTAAACTTAAGATATTGAAAGTAAAATGTAAAGACAGGAGCCATTCTCATCATTAAAGTGATTTTGACGGTGATATTTTAAGGTAAAAGTTGCATAAAGTTGCTGCAACATACTGTACAATTGCTGATCTTGTGACTTGTGGCTGCTGATAAATGTATTCCTGCCTGTACGGTTGCAAATGTGCAGCTTTTGCTACCTCGTAGGTTCGTTAAAATGTGTTGAAATCACTTTTACAGAAGCGGGACTCGTTTAAAAGTTTTTTCCTCCCTGTGTTTTTAGTTTAATATGTGTGTGTGTGTGTGTGTGTCACCAGGAAGTACATGTGCGCCAGGCGTTAATTGTGGTTGAGCAGCAGACAATCGATGCTAGCCGTGCAGTGACAACCTGATGATAAGCTACATGACTCTACCCGTCAGAGCTTGCTTTCTTTTTAGTGCTTTTAAATCACATTGATTGGCAGCTGTGGTTACGCAGTTATTTTAAGCGGCTCTCGGATTTGAATATGCATGTAAACCTCTGTCGGCGTGCGCTGAAAATCCACCGCCGGGCCCTGATGAATGTATGTGTGATGCCCAAGTATCCAGCTGCGTGTAAATGTGAGGTGTGTGTGCGCGAAAAATTCTCTCAGATTACTAATGTAATATCGGTAGTGAGTGGCGAGGACGTGTGCGTGCGTATGAATGCGTGTGTGTGTGCACGGTTTGTGTTTTCCAGCGTGGCTCATATTACTAATATAATATGGGTAGTGGGCTCGGGAGATGTGCATGTGTGAGTATGTGTGCCACAGATATTGAGAACTCCACATGAATTTAAATCAATGAGCTCGCCGAGTAACCTTTTGTATATCCAATCTGCATCTTTCCACTGCTCGTTATTAAATTATCCCCTAATTGGTCACGCAACAAAGGCAGCTGATGAAAAAGACAATTTCTTGCTTTTAATTGGGCATTTCACGTGTGCTTCGTGTACACCTGTGTGCGGCTGACTCGGCTCGGCGTCGCTCTGTGTGTGTGTGTGTGTGTGTGTGTGTGTCTCGGGTGTAATGAGAATAGGACATTAGCAAGGGCTTGGCAGACGCCGTCGCAATCAGTTCCACTCTTTCCGGAGAAGGCGGGAGCAGGGGCTGGAGGATTAATCCAGACATTAGCAATCTCACAAGGAGAAATAGATTGGAGGCAAAACAATAAAACTCATCCAGTCTCCTTACACGACTTTAATGGCTTCAGTTCTGGCTCTACATATGGCCGACATGTTTTTTGATCCGCCGCCGCATCACCGAATGTCAAACATGTGTTGCCCAAGAATCCCGACAGCGTGGATTCCCCCGAGCCGTCCAAGGCCGAATCTTTATTTCAAGCCTTTCCTCCTCCTCCTGTGCTTCTCGCCCAACTTTAGGCGTACCACCAGTGGTGTGTCACGCTAAAATAGCCTGGCTATTGTTGCGCCGAGTGGAGCTGAATAGTGCGGCTCATTGTGTTGTGATGGGAGGCAGGGGAATGAACAGGCCATAAACACTGGCCCTATAGCACCCAGGGGTCGGGAAAGGTGAAGCCTCACTCCGCTTTTCTCTTCCCTCTCTCCTCTCCGTCCCTCCATCTCTCTTTATCTCCCAGCCCTCTCCCTTTTTTCTTATTTCCCCCTATCTCCATTCCCCTCCTCTTCCTCCCCTCTCCCTCACCCCAGCCCTCTCGCAGTCTTTCTCCCTGTCAGCTTATTAACGGTCACAGCAAGAGTGTCTGGTTTGCAGACCAGAGCCCCTTTTTCTTTCTTTCCTTTTTTTTTTTTTTTTCTTCTTTCCTCCACTCTCTCACTCCTCCTTCCCTTCCATTCTCCCGCTCTCCATCGCTCCATTCCCCTGGCTGCTATTATGAGAGGCATTTTATCCTTTGTTCCAGCCCCCATGGTGCATCTGGCCTCAGATATGGGGACGACGGGGACAGGAAACCGGCGAGAGTTTTCGAGAGGAGGAGGAGGTAGAAGGAGGGAGGGAGGGTTTGGTGGGGTTAGACTGTGGATTCATTGCTGGGAGGTGGGCTGCCACTTTCCACCATACAGGGAAGGAATGATAAGGAGGGGAGTGAGCAGGAGAAGGAAACAGATAGAGAGGCAGCGTCACTGTTGTTCTTTTAGGAGTAGTAACAGTCAGAGCACTTCTAGCAGCAGCAGTAAAAGCAGGATTATGACTTTCTTATTTAACCCTGGGAGTGAATAAGTCCACATTTAACATCTAGTGTCCACTAACACGTCTCCATTGTGGCGCGAACAAACGCCCGACTTCCTAAAAAGTGCACACCTATTGGCAAAACAGCTTCCTTTGGTGCGCTGGTGTACCACCGAAGTACAGAAACGGTGAGACAGAAATAAAGAGGAAGGAAAGGAAAAGCACAGGAGAGGAAGAAGCGAGGCAAAGAGAGACGGCGCTAAATGACAAAAGGAAGGAGGCGAAGAGAAGGAGAGGTCAACAGTTAGCCGGCGCTGCCCTCCAGTTGACCTTCTGTAAAGGGGTTTGGAGCAGGAGAAGGAGAGTTGAAGGAATGCTCAGGCCTCCTCGGCCCTCCGTGCCCTCTCCCTCCCTCGCTCCTCCTCCTCCTCCCATATCTCCCCCACCAAACCAGGGTAGCAGGGGAGGAAGGGAGGGAGGTAGGGAGGGGTGGTGTTGGTGATAAAACTCCAGACGTTCCCTCATTTGATGGTGCTCTGCCATGTCAGTGCATTCTTGCATTCCTCCCCAGCTCTTTCTATTTCTTTCTCTCTCTTTTATCCCCCCTTCACCTCCCCTCAAATTCCAATTCAGCATATTTTATTGTAACAAATACAGAACAAAACTGCCAAAGCCTCGAGCTCAAAGGCTGACAAGATCCCTAACGCTATTTTTTTTTTTTTGTTTCCTCCCTTCGCTTGCATCCCTGTCAAAAAATGAACAATTTTTTTCCAAAGCAGCTTACAAGATATAACAGAGCAATTACAGAAAAGACAATGCGGGGAAACAATTAGGCTGTTAATCATTCTCCGTTTCTCTCGCTATCCGTCTCCGCCACCCTCCGTCTCCTCGTTTCCCTGCAGCTCGCTCTTTAGAAGGTAATATAGGATAGATAGCAGGCAGGAGAAGAAGAAAAAAACAGTTATGAAGAAGGAATATTAAAGCGATGTGAGGTAAACGGGCTCCATTTGCTAATTAGGGGTCAAACAGATGCGGCATGCTAGCGTCCTTTTGTTTCTCCTCCTCCTTAGAGCTCCTAAACGCTCCCTTTTTTTTAAGTGCTGCACGGCCCATTGTTGCCTTAAAGTTCAGCTAATGCTCCCCTTTTTTTTTTCTTTCCCTGAGATGAAATAGAAGTGTCCGGTGGGGCAACAGCAGGAACACATAAATCAAGTCAGAAGCCCCAAGAGCCCTCTCTCCTTGGGGTCATTACAGGTCAAGGGGTCATTTCACAAGGGGTTAGCCTGAGCAAGGCCAGAGCGCTGCCTATGCGAGGGCGTGGAAGTGTGTGAATGAAGCAGGATAAAAGTGTTGAAAATGAAGCAGATTTAAATATGAGTAATGGTGTGTGTGTGTGTGTGTGTGAGAGTGTGTGTGTGTGTGCACAATAAATGGCCTGACTGTGGTGCTTTTATTGGAGGTCACGGAGTAAAGAGGTTAGTCCAAGGCTGAACGTAGCAAATCTGGCTCCTGTGAAAACACACTAAAAAAAGCTCCCGCTGTCGCCGAGTAACACGCGGTCACCTGTCTCAGTATCACCCCCAAACAATGCCTCTCACCGGTGGCAACACGGTGACATGTTTCTGTCAGCAAACACTTCCCACACCGCCACGTTTTCCGAGCCAAGTGTGTTAAACAGTCAGCAATCTCGGCTCGTTGTGAGGTGGAACGTCTCCAACAAAGCGAGATGGGTTGACATGTTTCAAACAGGCAGCGAGAGCGAGAGAGAGAGAGAGAGAGCGAGAAAATCCCGGTTAAGCCTCGCCCCACAAAGACCCCAGTGTTCGGGCCGATGGAACTGTGTATACTGAGGCCGTGCAAGTTTGTACAAGTCGTGGAGTTCTGCGTTTTCAAAGACAACTGCCTCGGTTATTAAGGTTGTTAAGATGTGACTTTCGCTGTGGCTCTATCGGGGCTTTAGCGCGGCTCAGGGCTGCTTATGGGAGAATAATTACTCCATATCACTGTTATGGTTAGCGAAGAGAAAAAAAGGCTGATTTGGCAATGTGTTTGTTTTTGTGCGCCGTGCCAAGATTTTAAAGTATTCGTCAGCAATTTTCTCTCTTTTTTTTTTCTTCTGTTGGTTGATTTTGTTTTGAGAAACACACTGAAAATATTTCTTCTCTTTCTGCCCCCCCTCCCAACCCTTTCTGCTCATCTTCTCCAGGTTCATTAACGCGAGGAGGAGAATAGTGCAGCCCATGATCGACCAGTCAAACCGTGCAGGCAAGTCTCCTATAGTTACTGTATTCAAGTCTCGCAGGCGAAAGCCGTCCACACTCCATGCACCCGGAGGCCCCTCAGCTGGTAAATACAGGCCTGATCCCCCCCCTCCCTCCATCCTGGAATGTCCAAAACCTCCAGGGGCTTTTCCCTCCACTGTCGTGACTGACCACTAAAATTAAGAACCAAAAGCATGAGCAGCAACCATTAATCACCTGTGACATGCCACTTGGGGTGAAAAAACTATTAATTGTAAGATATAATAATTTGGCTGAAAATGAGTTAATGATGAGTGGATTTATTTTCCTTCTTGTCCCGTAAACAAAACTAGCTGTGTTCTCAGTAAAGTTTGCTCTTAACCTGTTCCCCCCCCTACCCCCCAAACCTTTTGCCAACCAGGCAAAGGGGGAAAAAAAACACTCAATCCTTCCTCCCCGGCTCAAACCATAACACGAAGACAACTACGCCCGTTTCTTTTTTTGGGTGACCGTTGTTTGGCTTTTTGGCTCCAGACCTGTTTTTACCCACCCGCCCACCCCTCCTCGCTCCTTTAAACACCCTCCCTCGACTCTATTTGCGGCCGTTTCAGGGAGCGAGGGGAGCGAGTGAGCGGTCCCCCTGGTGCATGGCTTGGTTTGGACTGCCGTAAACTTTATTACCTGTAATAGGGGTCAGAGGTCAGGGTGGCATTAGGGGCGCAGTAAAGTTCAAAGGCATTCAGTGGGGCCGAGGTCTTGCTTTTGCTTGACTGACCCCCAAACAGCCTAAATCGAAGGTAAGTGGATTTCTATGAGAGCAGAACAATGGAGGCAAGCAAAAAAAATAGCAGCCCTATCAGGTTTCACTTATCGTTGCTGCTCAGTTATAGGCGGTATTTATTAGATAAAGCGTTTAGGCAGGAGTGGATTCTGGGGCCATTCGGCAAGAATGACTTATTGTTGTCACAAAGGGAAACTGATTAGGGCTTCGGCCTGGAGTTCATTTTTTCTTCTTTGATCACGTGTGTAATCATACATTGATAGGAGCAGCAATTATGTTAAAAACATTGCAGCGCTAAGTGCCAAAATGCCATTTTGTTCAACATAACAAGCTATTATCAAGAATTTATGTCGCGGCAAATTGGTTTTAAGACACACTTTGCTGCCGTAGCTCTAAAAATCAACAATGTTTTAGAGAAAAATGTAGAAACTCAGAACAATTTAAAGGAGTATAAAAGGAGTTTGTTCCAAAAATGTAATTATCTGTGACCCTGTTGGTCGCTTGCATCGTGCAAACAAACATCTAAAAGTTTGAATTAAAAAAATCCAAAAGTTTTCAAACAAACGTATATGTCCATTTTACAAATCACACAGTCCAGTATTTGAATATTTCACTGAGCAGAAACATCAAACAGTGAAACAAGCTCACAAACACGACACATGATGCCGTCAGACTGTCTGGAACTAGAAGATGAACAACCTTAAAGCCTCTTATTGGGATAAAAATGAGAAAAGTTTGTGTTTTCATGAGCTAAAATGTAAAGAGTTCATCGTGTCTGCCCATGCTCCACCGGTCACTGTGCAGGAGCAGTGGTCACCTCTTCCAGATGGCTCAAATCTCATTTGAAAACAAACCTCCTCGTGTGTCTTAAGCGCACCGTAGTGTACATTGAGCCCTCAGTCCGATCCCTATTAGAGCATTAAAGTCTACCAGGGGCTTTACGGTGCAGAGACATGGAGCAGAATGACGTTGGAAGACAACGGCGGCTTCCTGTGCGTGCACCAGCCAACAGATGATCCTGCTTCGGCCACTGAGCCTTAATTAAAAGCACTAATTGACCACTCTGTTCCCTCCCTGCAATCCCTCTATCCCTCCCTCCCCGTCTTCTCCTCCATCCACAGTAAGTCAAGGAGCTCCCTATAATCCAGATGGCCAGCCGATGGGGGGCTTCGTCATGGACGGCCAGCAGCACATGGGAATCAGACCACCTGGTAGGGCTTTCTCTGCGTGTCTGTCCCTTTTCTGTCCTCCCTCTCTCTCTCGCTCTTCCCTCCTTTCTGTCAGCTCATTTTCTTGCCTTTGTCTCCTTGATTCTCTCTCCTGCCCTCTTGGCTCTCGATTCATCTCGTACAGTATCGGCCATGTCGGTGGTTTATTGTCTTTTTTCCGAGCACTTAGCGGGAGAGCTGCGCGGTGGTTTAGGTGCAAGCCGCGCAGCCATAAAGACACATACAGACCTCTACCTCCCCCCTCCCTGAATACACAAACCAGAACAGGTGTGGTCAATCACATTACACAACCATCCTCTTCCTCACTCCCACTCCCTCGCTCGCTCTCTCTCTCTCTCTCTCTCTCTCTCTCACGCCATCAGGTCTAATCCCAGAGTTTGTCCTTAAGCTCCTCTCCTCCTCCTCTATCCCCTGTTTTCTGGGATTCTCTCAAGTCTCTAACCCTATCTCACCCTCCACTCAAAGTCAGCAGGTTTGGATAAACTGCCCGGCTACTTAACCACCCCTCACCCCATCCTCAGCACCTTCGCACACCACACTCGTCGCCGCCATGTCGATTTAGTTTCCCAGCCAGTTTCAAACTGCACCTTTTAAATCGTGGCTCTGAATTCACTCTTTCTCTTGTGTGTGTCTTCTCCCAGGACCAATGGGTGGAATGGGCATGAACATGGGCATGGAAGGTCAGTGGCACTACATGTAGCCCCACCCCAGTGAGACCAATCACAACACAAAGGGGGATGTAAGTACACACTTCCTCACAGGCTGACTTACACCTCTGTCGCTCAACTTTCCAGGTGCAACACAATGAAAGAGTTGTGGATCAGCTTTTAGGATGCGTCTCTGAATGAAACGAGGGCTGGTGCAGGTTCTTGTTTACGCTGATAGATTTGGAAATAACTCATTTTTCGCCTGTATTTAAATGGGGTTTTTTCGTTACAAGCAGGCTGTTGTTCTTCCCAGGCTGATTTTCCTCTTCTGTTCCTCTCCGTGCAACTCTCCCACCCTCGGTCTGGTGATAAGAGCCTTTGATCACAACCTTGTAACTCCTTGTGTGTAATGTAATGTCTATGTGTGTGTGTAGCTGCTTCACTCTCGCACAACAGCTACGGGACCAAACGTTCTTCGTATCAGGCAGGGGAGGTCTGTAGGATTAAAAAAAAAAAAAACATAAGAGAAAGGCAGAAGAAAAAAGCAAATGTACATGCGAATAATTGCAATTATTAGCGATAATCAATAACAAGGAGAAAGTGTGAATCTCAAACGGTTCGGTTCACACGTTTGTATTAAAGACGGGGCAAAGACTGGAGAGGAGAGGGGTGATGAGAGGGAGGGGAGGCGGGGATGGGTTGGGACAGGGGGTGAGACGGGAAGGGGGGGGGGTGGCGGGGGGGGCAGGTAGGACGTTGCTATGGCAACAGACTGATTGGCAAAAATGTAAGCAGTCGTCGCTGGTGCAAGGAGAGGCAGAGAGAGAGAGAGAGAAGTGAGCGCCCCTTAAGTGTCATAAATCTGCCGGGTTGCTGTTGATGCATGAGCCACATTAATACACACACTAACCAGCTAGACTCTCCCCTCCCCTCACCTCCTCTCTCCCCCCTTTTCCTCCCCTCCTCGCTCCTCTTCTTCTTCGTCCTCCTAATGCTCGCTCTGTCTCACTCTCTCTCCCTCTTTGTGGTTTTTCTCACTGTCAATTTTTCCTCCTCGATCTCTTTCACACAACACCTTTTTCTGTTTCTCTATAATTCTCTCTCTCTTTCTCTCACCTCGTCTCCCCCCCTCTCTCTCCCTCTCTCTCCCTCCCTCTCTCTCTCTCTCTCTCTCTCGCCCCAGGGCCAAACAGACTCCCACATAATTCTGGATGTATACAGGCTTGGTGTTGTCACAGTGCACAGTGTGTATAAAGTGGCTATGGGTCCAATTGTACTGGAACATCATTGTTGTGCGAATCGGTTTACAGTGTAGATGTGTGCACCTGTGTGGCTAGAGGGACGCCATACATTAAATGTGAAGTACATGCATGTGCTGATATGTGGGTGCATGTGTGTGTACGTATGTGCATGTGTGTGTATGGTAATAGGATTACTCCTGGCACAGGGAGGGGACACAAACTAGTGCAAAATGGAGGAGGTAGCCAGCAGGGTATGGAGCTTAGCTGGGCCTAATTGACTAGATCCAAATTAAATATGCCATCACCAGAGGTGTGACCAATGGATTTGACTTATTCAGTTTACAAAAATAGAGACCATTAACCCTCCACACAGTGCGCGTGCACGTGCGCGTGCCACAGCGAAAATATGCCACCCTTGTTTCCAGCGCGAATGTCCGCAACTAAAACAAAGACGGAAAATCTCACATCGAATGGCATCTTTGAGGTTTGAAATGCAGGGAGACATGGTAATAGAAGGGCTTCAGAATGAGACCGTGTGTGTGTGTGTGTGTGTGTGTTTATGTGCGAGTGTGTAAACACGAGGGCTGCCTCGCCGTGTCCAAGCAGCCTCTTTCCAGCAGCTGCTAGCCTTCCCAGCAGACCTTGCTTTAAACAGCCTCAATTTGCCTGCTGAATCTCGTAATTGGGCCACCAGAGGAATCCTCTGCGAGACGGGCAAAAGCACAGAGAAGACGAGTAGACAGAGCAAGAAAAAAGACAGGGAGAGGTAGACGGAGGCAGGAGGGAGGGGCGGATGAAGAGATGGCGAGCGAGGGAAGAGTAAATGACAAGAGGGGAGGGGAGGAGGGAGGGAGGGAGGAAGGAAGGAAGGA